AGTCCCCTTTGACGTACATTAACACCGCCCTGCACCCAAGATCTTTCCCCGCAGCACCAGCGACAGCCCACGGAGTCCCATCGTATTGCACATCTGGAGCACACCCTCTGACCAGCGCTTTGAGCTGCCACCAGACAACATGCATGAATGCATATAGTGTACAGTGCCCTGCACACCCGCAGTCGCATTTGTCAAGTGTGCGCAGAAAGCCAATGTAATGTCGACGCTTCGTTAGCAAGTTAACCACGCTCACATTCAAGACGCTGTCCGTACGCCCAGCATGAAGTGGTGAGTACCGAACTGAATCGGCGTACAATGGGGAGGGGCCAATCCCCTGTCTGGTGTAGACATTCGTGTACATGTTCATGGTTCTGGTATGCGCGAGTCATCATGACTGAGTCTGCATCGTATGTACCATGTTGTAGTATAGTTTTGCACTCGGTATCGGTTCGCACCTCTTCGGACAACGACTCATACACAAGCTGGATGTCCGTGTGTGCTGTAGTTAAGTGGGCGCGCCCACGGACAGCCATCGGGATACGCACTTTTATCATCGGCCCTATCGGTGGCAGTCTGCGATCCACATGGTCTTTGTATCTACCAGACGGCTTCCCAGGAGACATCCCCCACCACTTCCAATGTGCACCGCCAACCCCTGCAATGTCGCAGTAGTGGCACCCGATGGCAAAGTCTTTAGCCGTCATATGCCTCCCAGACACATAGATCCCTAACAGGTGGTCGAACAGCGCAGCCCCTGCGGTGCGCATCTCAACATCACGCCTAGAAGAACGCCATGATCGCTTGAACTGGTTTTTGGGCGGCATGTGTCGGCAGGTTCCGAAAAAAACGGTGCTGTGTGGTATCCTGTGTGCCAGGGCTGCGGGTTGCACATCGACGCCCCTGTGCCCCTCCCCAAATGCATTGCACATCTCACTCCCACTGCGCGGCGGGGAAAAAGCTAGCGACGCGGCGATGCAATGCACAGCTTCTTCAAACCTGCAGCGCCCGTTCTGCCATGCCGTGACGCTGCTGATGCGGCCTGCTCCGTAACATTCGTGCACAGTGCGCGCGACCCCCCTGGCTCTCGAATGTTGCGCGTGCAGTCGTGCGCGCCGTCGATGATGCGCGCGCGTGCGATCGGTGTTCGACGCTACCAGTGATGCGAGCACGTGCACGCGATGGGCAACGCGGTGATACGTGCGCGCACAAGCCCTCGCACACCGTCAAACAATGCACGCGTGATGTGCACGCCCCCCTTCGCCCGAACATCACAGCGTCACGGAGGCATCGCAACCGAACGAAAACAACTGCTGGCTGACAGCACGCGCGCACGGTGCGCTCGGCGGCCTCGGTGCGAGACAACGCCTGGCGATTGGCAGTGCGCCTTGCGCGCCCACTCGCCAGCTGAGAACGCTGAGGCCATGCCAGCATAACCCCAGAGCCTGGGACTAGGCACACAGCGCGCTCATGAATCTGCGCATGATGGCGCGGCAACCCCCAACTGCCAGATTCTCGGATATCCCCCCCTCTACCGCTGGCATCCGCCCTACACCCGCGCATTCCAGATGCCAAATCCGCAGAAAACTAGCCGAAACCATAGATTCGCACCCCCCCTGCCCACACGGGCAATGGTTTTTACACGGCGACGGGGCTAAAATTACGGTTCGGCCACCAGCGAGGGCTCGAACGCCGCCACAATTGGGTTCGGACGGGGGGGGGAGCGTTTTTGGACGGTACTTGGACGGTACTTGGGCGGTACTTGGTCGGTTCGGTGGTGGCATGACCATGGGTTTTACATGTGTTTTTACAGGGTTTTCGCCTTTTTGGACGGTACTTGGACGGTAGCCGTTTTGGACGGTACTTGGACGGTACTTGGTCGGCGTTCCGGCGTTATTTTTACTAGATTTTACGTTTTGGGGAGGGTTTTCTGGCAGTTTGATGGATTTTGCGGTTCGATGAGGGTCGGTTGGGGCGTTGCCTGCGCCAGCCGCAAAAACTGCTTACTACAACCTAGGCTCAAGCTGCAGGGGCCTTCCTCTTCTTCGTCTCCTTCGGGGCACGGGCAGCCTTCTGGCGGTAGATCGACGCGACTTCTGCCATGGCCCTCTCCACCGTCGGGGTGACGTCCTCGCGCGCCCCCCATCGCTCCCAATCATCCTAACCATGCGTACACTGCGGTGTAGGTAGCTCTGAGAGGCGATTCTGCGCGTGAATCCCACCAACCCTCTGCGCGTATGTGATTTAGGCAGTCTCATCTTCCACCCCCCATGTTTACCCTTCGGTGAGGGGCGTGCCCCCCCACCCCACCCCCGCCCCAGGACCTGGGCGGGGGGGGGGGTCCGCGAGTCGCTGGAGTGCCCAAAACGGCTTCGGCGAGGAAGCCAACATCATGTGTTTTATTGTTGGCCCCATGTTTGGCGTCGGGAGGGAGGGGGGGGGGGGGCGCTATGTAATGCACCCGCTTATTGATCGATCTCATCCGAGATGGCCCACAGAAGCGCACAGGAGGCACCGAGAGGTCCCAAGATTGCCCCACGAGGCCCCCAGGAGGCCCTCAGGAGGCCCCCAAGAGGACCCCGAGCGCCCCCACCCCCACCTCCCCCCCGATGCACCCAGAACGCCGAAGAGCCCACAACGACCGCCAAGAGACCCCCAATACGCCCCAAGGCGCCCCAAAGAGACCTCACGAGGCTCCGAGAAGCATCCAAGAGACATCTAGCCATTTTGCTTGCTCTCGTCCTCCTCCTCCTCATCCTCCTTCCTCCTCCCATCCCTTACCATCCTCCTCGCCCCCCACTTCCTCCTCCTCATCACATTCATCATCCTTCCCCACGCTCCCTCATCCATCCATCCGGCCATCTAATAGTATCATTCGCCCCCTCTCTCCGCCGCGCGGTCCAGCCGTCCCCTTCTTTGCTCCAGCACGTTTCTGATCGCCTCTCAACTCGCATGGGCGTCGTTTCTGGGTGGGCTGGCGGGGATGCGCGAAGCGTCTAGGATTTCCTGGGGGGGGGGGGTCGGGGCGCGGCACTGGCCCGCCACGAGAACATGTCGGGCGACCATGGTGCGCGGGTTCTTGAGAGGGTCGGATGGAGTTCGGGGAACCGAGAGCGGCGGGCCACGTGATAATGGTGAGCCGCACGAGCGAATGGTCGGGGGGGAGGGCTGATAGTGGACGAGGCGACCTGGGGAGGCAAGCAAGAGGCGCCCCCGATCCTGGTTCAGCTTTTTCATGAGCACCTCGAACTCGGCGTCGGTCATCCGCTTCTTGACCTCATTGAGGTTCTTCGTGGTCATGCACTCCCTGTTGATGGAGACTTTGAGCTCCAACTCCACCTCCCCTCTATGCGATGCCCAAACCCGTTCTGCCTGACCCCGTCACTCACCCTCTGTCCACAGCCATGGGGGCGCGCGACCGCAGATATCCCGCCAGCCTCATGCGCGACAGGCGGTCCAACGAACCAGCGTCCCCCCTTCCAAGAAAACCCCTCATCCCCTTTGGGGGGACGTTTGCACCCCCGCCCCCGTTGCCCGCCCAAAGACCTGGGCGGGGAGGGTCGCGAGCGGCCAGGGCGTGCGAGATGGCTCAAGACGGTTCCACGAGGGCCTGGAAGAGCCCAATTTGGCTTCCAAGATCGCTCAAAAAGCCAACATGGCGCCAAGAGGCACCATGAAGGTCACGCGACGGATCCAACCGTTTTTGGAGACCCCGCAGGATTTCCCCGAGTAGCCAGCATCATTCGAAAACCATAGGGGGAACAACGATGTTGGCGTCGCCTCCTTCTCGCCTCCGATGCGATTTTGAAGCTTCAAGGCAGCGCCGAGATGGCTCAAGAGAGCCCGAAGACGGGCCCGTGAGCCCCCGCGACGGTCCCGCGGGCGCACAAGACCCCCACGAGAGACTATTCAGATGACCCCAGCAGGGCGGCGAACATGTGGCACCCCCTCCGTGGATCGACGGCGTCCAAGATGGCCCCAGGAGACGCCCCAGAGCTCCGAAGAGACCGCCGAGAGAGCACCGCGGGAACCCCACGACGGGCGAGGGCCCGCATGCGCACACAAAAAGCCCCATGCGAATTCGCGCGCCACCCAACGAGCCTCAAAGGGGCACTCGTATACCCCCCACAGAGCCCCGAGAGGACTCCGCGACGCCCCCGAAAGGTCCAACCGTCCCAAGAAGACCTTCGATGCTCAACGATAAGCCCCCCGACGTGACTCAACGCATTCCCCTTCCTCTCGTTGACTGCGCTGGTTCACTATATGCGTATATGCGTTTCATTTCCCGTCAGCTCTCGTGGGCGGGGCTTCTGGATGGGTTGGTTGGGATTCGCGCGAACAACCATTGGCCTGACCAGTGGGGCCCCGACGAGGAGGGTGACCACGGGGGGCAGGGGGTCACAGTTCGATCCGCGTGATCTTGAGAACGGCGGAATGGCGATATAAAGGGATGGCGGGGGCAATGCAGGGACGAGCGGGTGTAAGGGGGAATGGTAGATGAACGAGGGAAGGGGGGTGCGCCGTGTCACAACCGCATGACTCGCCTTTCCCTTTTCCTCGTCGCTACTCGTCATGCTCCCGCCCGCCTCTCCACCAATTGTCCTCGCCCCCTCGCATGTTGCCGTCTCGCCGCGTGCTTCCTCCGCCTCGTCAGACGGCCCTCAGGGTGTCTCCGAAAAATGAAGACAGCTGGCGTTGGTGCAAGTGTGAATGGGCCATGGAGTGGAGGAGGGAACTATGACCTAACCTCGGAGTTCAGGATGGGAACGCGCGAATGTTGCCGATGGGGCGGTGAGCCCCAGAGACGATGCGACTGGAAGGGGGGGCGGGGGGGAAGAGGGAAGGTGGGGCGACATGTGGATTCCAACAATGGGCAAACGTGACCGACTGTCACGACTTCTTGGTCAAGGTGCGCCCCAGCTTGCACCAGAGTGTCGCACTGCACTGCGCAGTGGCTAGTTTGACTGAGCGGCCCGTCTCTTGCGGCGCCCGCGCACTAGTGCCTGAAGCTCGACATGGCGCCGAAGAGCCCGCCACCAGACCCGAAGATCTCCATCTCAACATCGCCTGGGCCAGCGTCGGCGGCGCCGCGGGGCAGGTCGCCCGCGGCGGCCCTGGTGCCTAGCGCGGCCAGGGGTGAGTCCAAGGTCTTACCAGCAGGCGGCGGGGGCGGTGGCGGCGGCGTCGGTGCATCGGCCGATGGCGCAGCCTTGGGCGACTCAGCTCTGCCGTGCACGTCAGGTGATTTGGCGCTGATCCGCCGCCTACGCGACGGGCGCGGGCTACCGAAATCTGCGCGTGCCTCATGGGATGCCGCCTCCTCTCCAGCAATGTCCCTGGGCGGAACTGGCGCGCGCTTCGGCGCCGTCTTTGTGCAGCGGGGGCCTGATGCTGCAGGTCGCTTCAGCATGCCAGCCTTGACATCGGCGATGGTGGTCGAGTCTAATTTGTGACGCTTGCCACCCCTGCTGCCCGTGCCGGCCTCGTCGCCCTTGCCGCCCCTGCCGTCCGCGTGGTCGCTCTTCTCATCGTTGGACATCCCCGCCGACTCGTCAGCCTGCTCGGATGCATCTTCTTGATCGTCGTCCTGTGAGCCTTCCACATCGGCAAGTTCGTCGGCATCTTCGTCGCCGTCGAAATCATCAAGGCCCTGATCAACGACCTGCTTGGGCTTCTTGGCGGCGCTGCTCGTCTTCTTTGCCGCGGCCGCTGCTGGTCGTCTCATGTGGCAGACGTTCGCCGTATCGGTCTCCTTCTGCTCATCCTTGAATTTCTTGATGAATGCGCGCTTGATCACCTCGATCTCCTCCTTGGTGGTCTTCCCAGCCGCCAGCAGTCTTGCCTGCTTCTCCAGCATCTCCTCATGCCCAACCATGCCCGCGTGGGGCACGAAGTTGACGATCATGCGTTTCTTGCCCTGCTTCGGAAACTCCCAGATCCCCATCTCGGGGCTGCCATTCCTCGTCCACTTGCTCAGCTGGAACTTGGACGTGCCACTGACCAGCTCGACGATAATGTTGCTACCTTTCTGGCACTTGCCACCATTGTCCAACTGCTTCCACTCCCTGATGGTCTTGTACACAAGGCCCGCGATGACCGCGCTGGCGCCGCCCCTGAACTTGGCGATCACCTCGTCGTGGTCGGCGGCCAGGGGGTCGTCCTGGAGCGGCATGGCGTACTCTGGCGCTGGGTTGGCAATGCTCTGGTCCAGGCGGTACGCTCTCTTGGTGACCATGTCAACAGAGTACGTGTACGTCGGCTCCTCTGGCGAGCGCAGCTGCATGGGCGATGCTGCGCGGACTGTGCGATGACCATGGCCGCGGGTTTCTCCCGTCTCCACGCCTTCTGGCCATATCCCGCCACCATGGGCATTGCGCCCGTCCGCGCCGTATCGCCCACGCAAATGGGCGGCTGGTGCGTCCTTCGCCGCGTCGAGCTTCTTCATCTGCTCAACGAAGGGCTGCACCCACGCGCAGGAGTCGGGATAGCGCCCCTCGCGCTTCATGTTCTTCAGCACCGCTTGCTGGACGTGCCTCAACATGGCGCGAAGCATCTTCGCCATGGACGTCGTCCAGTCCTTCTCCTCGTCACCGAGGGCCCACGCAGCACCGTTCTCCTCGAGGACCTTCTCGAAGAGTTGGATGGCCTTCGACTGCGATATGGCCATGTGAGGGTACATGGCTCTGCGGACGTCCAAGAGCATGTCCTCCCACTCGCTCAACACGTCAGGGTCGCAGTCGTCTGCGAGCCCATGCGGGTAGTCCAGCTCATCCGCCTCCTTGAAGTGATTGATCAGCGCGGCCTCCAGCTCATCGGACCCCTTGCACCGCGAGCGCTTCTGCGCCATGCTCCGCGGGAGTGGCGAGCCGCAAACAGCCAAAATGGCTACGCACGTGAGACGGGTGGAGCAGGGCAGGGGGGGGGGGCGAGGGCCTCGGGGTTGGTAGTCGTCATGGTGCCACATAGTGCGCCGATGGCGTTAACAATGCTGTTTCGACGGGGTCAGTCCATGCGCGGCGGCGGCGGTGGGCGGGGAGGGGGGAGGGGGGGCAGATTTCGCAGATAATTCGCGATCGCGTTGCACCCCCGCCATTTTGAACGGCAGCACCGTCTTGGATTTGGACGGGGCTTGGACGCGTCCATGGTCGCGTCCATGGACGCGACCATGGACGCGACCATGGACGCGACCAAGCCCCGTCCAGCGTGCGCGTTCGGCGCGGCGCGCATCCAGCGCCGAGTCGAACGCGCGCCCATGCTCGAAGGGCGTGTGGGCTCCCTGGTGGGCGTCATATCTTCTTTGTGCGTCTTGGGGCCTCTTGGGGGGCTCTTGGGGACCTCTCGGAAACAGTATAGGCTGACTGTAGACCCTCTCGGGGCGCCGTTTGATGCCTGGATGGAAATGAACGTGAATGGTGAGGACATAGTTGGGGTTAGCCGATACTGCTCTGGGAATGGATGGGAGGCCGGATGGCAGGGGGCGAGGAGATGCGGGGCACGTGCGCAATCCCCCCAGGGCACCTGCTTGATAGCATTGTCCAGCTCGCCCCTGGTCTCCTTCCCTGCTGCGAACTTCCACTCGTTCGTGCCCTCAGCTGCGTCCGCTTTGATCAGCGCCTCCAATGTGGACACCTCCCCTTCCACGCGACATGTTCGCTGTTATCACATATCACTCTCCGTCTCGCCATCGCACGCCTATCGCTCCCGACTCCAAGCTCGACCACCACGCTCCATGAATATATGCCCCATCCCACCCTCTCAGCCCGCTTCCCGTCTCCCCGCCCTCGCCCATGCACTTCATCATCATCGTATTCACGCCTCCTCGTCCCTCTCGTTCTGTATTATCGGTCGTACCTTTCTCTCTATCTCTCTCTCTCTCTCTCTCTCTCTCTCTCTTTCGTTCTCTCACTCTCTCTCTTGTTCGCCCTCTCTCTCTCTCTCGCTCTCTGTCTCTCTCTCTCTCTCTCGCTCTCTCTCTCTCTCTCTCTCTCCCTCTCTCTCTCTTATAACTCCAGTCACGTTGCCATCCCGTCCTGCTCCTGCGTCTCACCCCGCCCGCTCCGACATGACGTATCGTCCACCTCTCATTTGTCCCCCCACCCCGCACTTCGCGTTGTTCTCATTCGTATCCTGATCCTCATCCTCCTCCTCCACCTTTCCCTCGTCCGCCTCATCGCTCCTCTCGGCCCAACTCCCCGTTGTCGTCGCTATCCTCATCGCATCGGCTGCGTCGGTTATCATCGCGCCGCTGGCGTCGTCGAACTCACCGTCGCCACTCGGCCCTGGCTCTCCCCCATCAAAGCGGTGCCCCCCCGTGGGCCTGGGATGTGTACTGCGCGAACATTGTGCGCAGCTTGCGGAAGTCCTTCATCCACTCGGGCGCCTTCACGGCGAGCTTCTTCTTGTTGCCGTTGCCCTCGCCGTCGCCTCCTTTGCCGCTGGTGGCCTCGTTCCCAGGGCCGCCCGTCGCTGCTGCGGCTGCCTGCTTCTCCTCGCTGGACGCCTCGGCACCAGGGCGCGGCAGCGGAGTGCATGGCACGCTGGCCACGCCATCGGCGCCAGGAGGTGGCTGGCCGCCGACGCAGCCCGACTCCATCCAGACCTCGTGGCTGGTCCAGCTCTGCTGCCACGTGTCCTCCAACGAGTGCTCCACGTAGAGGTAGAAAAGGCAGTCCGTCATGTTGCACCACTTCGTGAAGATGCCCCCCATTAGCACTGCCTTCCCAGCATATGTGTATGCCAGCTTGGCACCAGTGGACCCTCCGCCAAACTTCCACGCCAGCCTGGCCAGCGGCATGTAGACGCCCTTCATCGTCTGCTTCTTGATGTTCGTCTGCGTCTTGCTGAACTCCCGCTTCTTCTGCCACCTGTGGAACGACCACTTCGCCCACTCCTCGCGGACCGCCTTCTTGGCTGGGTAGCCCTCCGCCGCCAGGTACTTCTCAGACCATTCGTTCGATGCCTCCATCACTCTGGCCCATCTGCCCGCGATCGCGTTGCCCTTCTTCTTCTCCGTGCTGAACTTGAACGCCTTCTCCTCCAAGGACTCCCACATGAGGCGCTCCTCCCTGTCAAGAGCCGACTCCTTCGGGTCGGCGCCGAAGTCGTCATCCAGAGGCTTCTCCGCGGTCTCAGGGCGCATCGCGCGCAGCTGCACGATCAAGGAGCCCTTGTAGAAGTCCTGGAAAGTCTTGCCCATCTCGTCCAAGTCCGCACCCGTGTCGGATGCGACCAGCTCGTCGAACTTCTGCTTGAGCTTCTCCACCAGCTGCTCCTTGCTGATGCCGCAGTTGCCATCGAGAGGTGCCCGCGCCATCTGGTCGATGCTCGGCGCTGTCATCGCCTGCTGCTTGTTGATGTGGCTGCTCTCGATTGGCTGCTGCAGGCGCTGGCCCACCAGCTGCGGCGGCGCCGTGAGCGGCCGCTGCGAGCGCGGATGCGCTGGCACGCGCTCCTCCACGCGTGGCGGGCTCACGAGGCGATTACTCTGCCACCTTTTGGACTTCTTGGTCTCCACTTGCACATCGTCTGTCAGCGACCGCTTGAAGGATGGCAGCACTGGCGTCTCCTGCTCGTCCGAAGTCTGCTGCGAGAGCCCGAGCGGCAGCTGCGAGCCCGAGTCCGCTGGATTGTACGATGGCGTGTCCGCCAGCTGCGGCGTCTCTGGCGCTGGTACCCAGCTCGCTGACCTCGGGCGCGACCTCGGCGAAGTGGTGGCAATGGCTTGCAGCGGCTCCTGAGGAGACCAAGCGAACGCAACAATCACTGTGGTCATGGGCTCCTCGGGTGAGGAGCCCACCACCCGACCAGGTCATGTTGCTGTCCGTTTGGCCCTCCTGTCCTCGTCCGAATCGATCTGCTCCACCGAGGGCGTGGGCGGAGGCGGGCCAGGGGGCGTCGCAGGACTCGGGGCGGCCGGGGGCGGGGCTGGCCGTCCATGCGCCAGCTGCTCCTCGGCTGGCTGCATGCTCGCTGCGCGCTGCTCCTCGGCTGGCTGCATCTTCGATGCGCGCCGCTCCTCGGCTGACTGCATCTTCGCTGCGCGCTGCTCCTCGGCTGGCTGCATGTCTGCGCGCTGCTCCTCGGCTGGCTGCTTCTCTGCTGGCTGCTCCTCGGCTGGCTGCTTCTCTGCGCGCTGCTCCTCGGCGGGCTGCCCATGCTGCTCCTCGGCTGGCGACGCCTTGGCGCGCAGGTGGTTCACCGCTGCAGCCGCGCCCTCGATGTACGGCAGCGTCTGGTCCAAGTCCAGGCGGTCGAACTCCTCTTGGATCTCCTGCTCCGTCATGGAGCGATCGCGTGCCACCTGCATGGCCTCCTGCACCATGGTCTCGACGCCCTTGGTGTCGACCTCTGTGTCCGAGCCCTCGACGGTGTCGACAGCCGCCTGGGGCGGGGCAACGCTGGGGGGAGGTATGGTGTAACCGTCATGTTCATCATCATCCTCATCCTCATCATCATCATCATCACCACCGTCACGATGGTCATCCTCATCATCATCATCACCAGCATCATCATCATCGTCCTCATCATCCACATCCTCGTGCCCCTGGATCCGACTTGGGCTCGATTTGGGCCCGATTTGGACGCGTCTAAATCGGATCCAAATCGGCCCAACACTACACCCATGCGTGCTCCACTCGGCACACCCAGTACAGCGCGCAAGGCGCCCACCACGTGCGCCCACGGGCGCCCGCCAGGCGAAACCTCTGCGGACCCGCCCCGCACTCGGAGCCCCCACGAAGCGCCCGCGCACGTCCACAAGGCGACACCTCGGCGGGCCCCAGTCGGGCACGTCCCCCTGCAGGCGGATTTCGGAATGAAAATGGCAAACCTACGCTGCGTATCCAACGCTCATACATATATACCTACACATGTGTAACGACTTCGCAACACCAGATAACATCTATACACATGTATAACGGTACGCCATGGACCAATACATGACGACATATGCAAGCAAATGATTACAAACATATATATATATATATATGTGCACAGGTTTACATGCATAAACAAACATCTATTTGATGAAAATATACACATACCAAAGCAATAACTACATACGTACATACATATCAAACTCCCGCTGGCCTGCTCCATCTCCCTCGCGATCGTGTCGAGGCCCGTCAGTTCGGTCCCCTTGGAGGTGGAGGTGGGGGAGGAGGAGCAGGAAGATGAGGAGGGTGCCAGCGTACCACGCCGACGACGACGACGACGAAACATGCGACGACGACGACGACTGCGACGCAGGAGGAGGAGGAGGAGGAGGAGGAGGAGGAGGAGGAGGAGGAGGAAGAGGAGGAGTAGGAAGAGGAGGAGGAGTAGGAAGAGGAGGAGGAGGAAGAGGAGGAGGAGTAGGCGGAGGAGGAGGAGGAGGAGTAAAGGGAGAAAGGGCAGGGATGGGCAATTTTGCCCCCCCAGCGCCAGCGGCATGCGGACCATCCAAAGGCGGATGTCCTTGTACCGCGGCGAGGGCGACCCCCCGCTATGGTGCGGGGTCATACAATCCCTCGAGCCACAACGGGCTGAAGACGGGGACGGAGAGGCGAAGAGGCGATCGTGACGAGGAGGTGAAGACGAAGACTAACAAGAGAAGACGCACTTAGAGACGAGAAATGGACGAATCCTGGGGCAGCATCAGCATGCGGGGGCATCTAGCAACATCAGCAACATCAACATGGGGGGGGCATCTGGGGCAACATCATCATGGGGGGTGGCATCGGCATGGGGGCAGCACTAGCAAGACGGGCGCTATATATATATATATATATATATATATAAAAACGCTGATCTGGATTATCCCTAATTGTGGTGATATTCCTGCTCAATTCCCTCATCTGTCTCCTGCCTC